CCCCCAGTCCAGGCCGGGTCCCCTCCCCCCCTCCTTTTTCTCTCTCTCCCCTCCCAACATTCTCTCTCTCACCCACTCTGTTTCCCCCCTCTGTTTCTCTGCCCTTCTTCCTTCTCAACTATCCTTCCTCCCATTCACTCTCTTTCAATCTCTGTCTTTCTACCCATCTACCTTCCTTCCTTCCTTCCTAGCTTTCTCCCTTCCTTTCTTTCCAAAATAATACCATAAACCCCACTCTGTCTCCCCCCCTTTTCTCTCTTTCCCCCCTCTCTAACTCTGTCTCTCTCTCTCTACCTCCTCTTCTCCATTCCTCCCTTCCACTCGCCCTTCCTTCCTATCTAGGGCCCGTCGTCTACCGCCACGACGGGCTTTCCTTACTAGTAGCTTTAGAAAGAGGAACCATGGCCAGACACTGCCTAAGAGTGAAAGTCGGTTGTTAAGCTAAAAAGCGGAAGCTCTAAAGGGCATTGGTGATGTTACAACTGACAGAATTGATAACCAAGAAAGTACCTAACACTATCTACAAAGCAATCAATAGCATAACAGTTAAACCTCGGACATAGGGATATATATATATATATATATTGTGCTTACTCTTACATATACGTATTTGCTCTTACTTTGCTTTTTTTTGCTGAATATACAGGGAAATGAGAAGTTACACTTGAACAAACAAAAGATTTGCGAAAATGGTGGCTGGACACCTAACAATAGAAAATCTTGCAGTTTTGAAGACCCTGTTGACAGGAAGGTCCGCTATAAGACGTGACCACAGTTGCTCAAGACTGAAACTTGTGGTAGACTATGAATGTTAGAGAGTAGGAGACAGTTCAGTTAATAAATAAACATTGGTGGGCTATGGGGGTCTTGAGGGAGGAATGATCTTCAAGAAAAAGCAGAAGAACAAACATGGGCATAACGACACGGGGTATAGTTAAGCAATCGTGATTGGAGAATGTACGTTTTGGTTACCAGCCAATGGTGGCCAAAATAGGGCGTTTCTTGTTTTCCATATCTCTTTGGTGGTAGTATATCTAGGTTGATTAACTGAATCAAAGTGTGTTCAGTTCTTTTGAGCTGTGCACCCACTCTTGCAAGAAGTGTATTCAATAAAAGATTCTGCTTCATTGAAAAGGTCTGTCTCCAGAAGTTCTTTCTTGGTAAGAACAAATTGCATTTCTCTCAAACAGCATACTCAAGATTACAGCAGCACAGACATTTTGATGCAATAATTCAGAGCAAGAGGTGTCAGTTATCAGACACTGTTAAATAAACAAAATATTGCAAGAGTGCTAATGTTTTAAGCATGTTTTTATTTTAAGTAAAAAAAAATAAATCTTTGTGTTTGTGTCCTTTATAAAGTTTTTATCTCCACTACCTGGCATTACATTTTATGACATACATGGGCCAGCCCGACAAGGTCTCATTTATGTCAGATCCGGCCCTCATAACAAATGAGTTCGACACCCCTGTCTTAAAGCATCTGTATCATGTTACATGTTAATTTGCTGTTAAAGCATCTGGATCATGTTACGTGTTAATTTGCTGTTCAGCCTGTATCTGTAAGTTTGAAAGCTAGCTTCCTTTCCAATGTATTTGACAAAGTGTGCATACACACAAAAGCTCATAGCTTGCATAAACCTTTGTTGGTCTTAAAGGTACCACTGGACTCTAAATTAGTTAGAAATCATTATGAGAGATAAAAAGTCAAAAATCAACTCACAGACTACACTTCAAATAGAAAAAAGTTTGACTCCAATGGTAGCTTTGAGACCAACAAAGATTAGTTCTGGGCATAAGTTTACATTTGCAGTTCTCCAGATACATTAAAACAGACTTCCTCAAGGTATGAGGAACTAGCCAGGAAGGGCTAGTTACAGTCAAGATGCATAAGTAAATGGGCGAGATTGGATTAAAGCAGTTGCAATTTAGTGTACAAATACAAGAGTTGACAAACAGATGTGAGAAGAAAGCTTATCTCCAGAATTAAACTTTGTCAGTCTTAAAGGTGCCATTGGAACCAATAGGTTGAAAACAAATCAAAAGAGTTTTCAGCTAAATTAGGAAGAACTACCTGACAGAGTGGTTCGTCAGTGGAATAGGCTTCGTC